CTGAAGTCCCATGTAAGGTGTGTGTCTCTCATCTCTTCTTCTGACGGAGATTGCAGTCTCTCCCATAACACTGAAAATTGAGGCTTTCCTCACTTTAGTAGCACACTTGCTGATAATTCCTTCCCCTAGACCATAAGCAATGTGGGTTTGGGAGCAACAAGCCTAAATTTAAAAAAAAAAAAAAAAGTTCTTCTCGCTGATGTTACAGAAGTCAATATGAAAGTCAGATAAGGGAATTAATTGCAAAGTAGAACCCCAAACTCATTTTGGATCCCAAATTACTGGACCTCACATTACTCCATGTAAAGGACAGGGTCTTACAGTGCAAAGGATGCATCTATACAAAAGCTTTGATGTAACCCATCGTCTTGACTGGAAGAATCTTACTAGGCTTTTTTCTTCTAAGTGATAATGGTAAGTATTGCTCAAGTCTTTCTGTTTTCCATTTTAGTAACCATGCTGAGCTATGGGGGCTGCTGGCTGCTCTCACTGCCCCCAGCACCTGAAGTCCAGTCCAGACTCTCCTCCCAGACCAGCCAGCTGGCACCCTCTGAACCCAGAAAGGAGAATGTTCTCGGCCTCACCCAGGGCTGATCAGCACACATTCCAAGCCTGTTTCGTCAACTCTGCAATTAGCTTTCCTTCCAAACATGATCCCCTAAAACCCTGAGACATAAGAAAATAACCATTTGACCACATGCTTTTCTCTATATAGCTAAGCCAACAACACACGTTCCCCCAACATGTAACAAGCTACCACGCATGCTTCACGAAGAGATTGAAGCATGTGTGATATCCAACTTTTCCAAGGTTAATAAAATTTTTAGGGTTTAAAATACTAAAAGGGACTGTAGGTCTCCAAAAGAATTACATGATTATGACAAGAGAAATTCCTGCCACTGTGACAATGTGAGCTCCAGAATCAGGCCTTCAAATTTGATTCCTTGGAAAAAGGAACACCTAGCAGATAAGAGATTATGGTGTTCATGAAAAGTGTGGCCCCAAGGAGTGAAGGCAAATGGCGAGTAGGATTTGGGCTAATCTGAATAACTGAGGAGTTACAGCTACTTGACCTTGAAATCAGAAGATGGAAGATCATCAATCAGCTGCCAGAGAACACATTCTGGGATATCTGTTTAAATAGCTACCGAGCAATAATAATTTCCAGGCACTACACCAAGTATTCTGAACATACTATCTCATGTAAAACACAGCCATCACTGGGCATTCACTGCAGGAAATTAATTTTCCTATTTGCATCACCCATAAAAGCAAAAAAGAAAAAAAAAAGACACATTAAATAAAATGACACAAGTGTGGTGTGCAATTTGGCAACAAGTGATCCAGTCACTTAGCTGACCACACAGAGAAATTCATGCTCTAATCAAACCTGGTAAGGAAAACCCAAAAAGGTCCTCTGTGGGGCTTTCTGCAAGGACCCCAAACCTGAAGAAAGAGCACGAACAAATAAAAGACCGGCACGTGTCCTCAGAAAGTGCCTCCATCTGGAGTATGTTGAGATAGAACAGGAGCCGCAGTGGAGGCTGGTTAATCCTGTTGGCTCTCTGGGAAGTATTATTGTTTCCTATTCTCCATAACTCCTGGCACATTTTGACGAGAAGACCATACACGTTCACCCATAACCCCCTTTCTCTCTCTTATTACAAAGAGTATGGATTTGGGCGAGTGGGAAAATGGGGGTGGGGATCTGGGAGAGATGGGGAGAAGAAAATCCATAATCAGAATATTTTGTATGAAAAAAATATTTTCAATAAAAAAGGAGAAGAGAGCTGAGATTCTCACACAGTATGAATTCGGCTATCTTGTATATTTGGGATCTGTGAATGGTTTTGAACAGAGAGGTGCATGCAAATGAGGGATGGGGTAAGAGCTTGAAACACCACCCGTCCATATGCTTGAGTTTCACGTCAAACGTCTACTGTGAAATTAACAATCAGGACAATAGGTCAGTACCAGGGTTACCTCCTTTGTACTGCCCGGCGCTGCTGTTCTAGTGTGCCATCTTTGGGTATACCAAGGAGGTAGCATTCAGTGCATGAGGAATTTTAGGAACCAGATGGTACTTTTTTGTTTGCATGTTGGATCTTGAGAGGGGTTCTCTAAGCAACACAACATCACACTGTATAACAACATATATGTCTGTAAAGTTTGGTGGCAGACACATCCCCTCCCTCATCTGTAGACTAAAATCAAGTACTGGAGAGTGTGCGGGGAAGGCTAGGAACAAAATAATTGTGTTTTGAATCCAAGGCAAGGATGGAAGGAGGAAATTCATATACAGTTTTCCACACCTAATCTAGAATTTCCCTCTTTGCCAGTTAATGGTACACTACAACTGCTCTTAATGATGATCCACAATGTTCATGAAAACAATAATTTGTTCACAATCACAATGCTTTCTTTTAAATTAAGTTGAGCCTAAGAGTATTTGGATATTTAAAGAAGGAGTCTGAAAATGATACAGTTTTCTTCATTCACTTAACTATGTAACCTTAGGAAAATAACTAAACATCTCAAACTCATTTTTCCTCGACTCAGTGTCTGATGAGATAATATGAGTGGAAGGTTTCTTGCAGAACTGTGAAAGTACATCACCCCTGCCTGGTGACTAATCTCTGCTGGAAGAAATTAATCGAAATGGACAATTCAGTGTAGGGGGATTACTTTCCCCAGAGCTACCTGGGTACTTCACACTTATAGTTGACTTCTATTTTGAAAGAAGAAGCTGAAAGGTATGAACTCTTTAATGCCCTTGCAAGATCATTAATACAAAGTGACTCACAAACTAAGCATTACTAAGTGTGAGTTAGGTTTTTGGATGATAATGTAATTTTGTAAATATTAAAGCCAAGTCAAGTAAACACACTGAAAGTTATACGAGTGTTTTTAACGTATTCCACTACAGTGAGAACAGGAAAGAAACCAGCTGGGCATAAAGCCGATAATTGCTATGATTAATGCTATTTCTAAACTCAACTTCTTTAAAAATAAATCGCTTCATAATTTAATTAGCTTTCTTTCCATCTAGAGAAAAAGTGCTAATAAAAGCTCAGATAAGAGAATGTACATTTAGACATAATTGTAGAACTTAATTTTTTATCTATGGTTCAGCTCAAAGTCAGCAGAATGACTTTTATATCAAAGAGCCGCAGTGAGTGACAAGAGCAAGACTTGCTTTGTACTGTTTGAAAGTCATTATTCCATGAAATAACTTTAGCCTGCCAAGATGAGAAAGAATAACAGATGCTAGGGTTTTTTTTTTTTTCATTATCTGCATTATTTCCACCAGTCATCCTTAGACATTTGGGTCAAATTTCTAGAAATTAGTTACTTGCATTTGACAGAGGAATCATGTATCCTAACCTCTCAGTTTGACCCTTCTAATTGGCATCCATTTATAATACTTTGCTTTGTGTGGCAATTATCCTCACACTGGCCCAAGTTTCATCTATTCCTATATGCACCAGTGCACCAGAATATTTTCAGTGTTAAGATTTTTTCATCCCATAGGAGACAAACCCATAAGAGGTGTTTTTTAAAACTTGTTTTGTACCTTATAACGCTGAGATTTTGAAGGCTTTTACAACCTTAAAGTAGAACAAGGAAAATTAATTGCTTTCATTCTGGATGTTAATTTTTAGTGATCCAATATTATTCTTAGCAAAATGATATGTCTGACTTTTTCCCACAGTGATACAGAATATTTTTTCCCTTAAATAAGTGAAATGTCACTTTTTGTTCTTCAAGCATAGTAATCATTTTTACAAACTGTGTTAGTCCTTGCTAGAGTACAAACAACCCAGAAATAAAATAAATTGCTTTTATAATTCTTGAAATTAATGACCATAGAATCTAACAAAGGCTTTTCATTTATCTTAGGTGGTGGTTTGCTACATTTACATTACATTTAGTTTATTGCATATAATAATACACTCTATTTATTGAGTAGTTGCAAGGTACCAAATGCTACCCTGAGTACTTAAATGTACTATCTCACTAAATCCCCAAATAGTCATAGTGCTCTTCAAGGGTTATTAATTACTTTAGATACAAAGGAAAGGAAATTATAAGAGTTTTGCATATAGAAATGAGTGGAATTCTGTTTGGATTCTTAAAGGTATATAAAGTAAAAGACCAAAGAGTATCACTTGATATCAGTCTTAAATTAAGACTTTCTATTTACTTTGAAAATTACAAAAGAAATAGTCAGTTATTCATTTACTATTAATTAAGGAATAACTGCCTTTTAAAATTATTTAGTGTGAAGAAATCTGATATCATAAAAAAATCTTAAATTATGTTTAAAGTGTGATGACTATACACTAATACAAATAAACAGAATATGCACACACTAAAAGCTAAGGAACAATTTATAAACTGATTGCAAAATGTGTAAGTAGTCTGAAGAAATAGTTTGAGTTCAAGATTAGTACTAAGTAATTATATTTGATGCGACAAAACACAAATAGAAATTCCCTGATTTCATCCAGCACAATTTCTTTCTGGGAGGTGAGGGGATTTGAGTCTTCATTTTGTGTCTTACTCACTTAAATGGAAATATATGTTACTTAGATCAAATTTGACATCATGAATAACATAAGAACGCTCTATTAAATAATCATACCGCCAGATAAACATGTAAAGTTAAAATGCAACAGAATAGTTCACTGCCATGACAAGTCTCGCCCAGACCTCTCTAGGAAACTCACAATGCCAGCCAGCATGCATAGGCTACTTCCAAGTACATTTATCTTTTAAAGGTTCTATGTATTTTCAAGTCAGTTCAAATGATTACTCGTAGACATACAAAATTGGTTATATATACATACAAGTTTACCCAAAAAAGTTAAGTTCCTTAAGCAAATTGTCTATCTTTTTTGAGAAAAAGATTTTGAGGAAAAAAAAAAAAAAAACTTCACTTTTGTTACAAATATAAAATCTCAGAGCGCCTTTAACAAATATAAAGTGGTTCTACTTACACTTGCATGGAGTTTTCCTTTTTTTGACATCGCTAAAAATTTGTTGCTGAAAACTCCTCGTATTCCTACAATCCCCTGAGACACAGCAAATATTTCCAAAATACCTAGGATGACAAAAATCCCAAAATAAAACACAGACTCTTCTGCACAGAACTGTGAAGAATTCAACATCTACATCAACTGTTCTCAATCTTCACTATGGTGATTAAAGAGAAGAACACGCAATGACTTTTGTGATTCACTATATTAAGGAGTGCTAGCATCTGAGTGGACACTCAGAATGACTTATTTCAAGATTCAGAGATTTGATTCTGCTTCCTCAATAATTCTCTATTTGCAAATGGTAGGTGGCATTAGAATCTTTTCAAATCCCAAATCTACTGAAAGATGCTTTTAACATATGTTTTAAATTTAATCCTAATTTGTTATTATTCACCAAATATGATCTACTTTTAGTATTAAATCATGAATATGACCTCAAAGCTAGTATAAAAAATTCAAAAGCCTGGAAAATTATACTTTCTTACATTAGACAAATCCTTCTCTTCCGATCATCACAATTTGAGAACTTACATATAAGCCATATTCAATCCAATAAAACTACACTTCAGATACTGAAGACATTATAAATTATTATTACTTCCATGAGTTGTTTAATGAATTATGTTTTGAAAAATACTAGATTTTAAGTCATTTCCTAGAAAAATGTAATGTTCACTATAACATTATTAATGTATAATGTAGTCTGTATGTCAATGCAATGTCCCTTTATCCCTACAGTCATTTCAAGAACCATGTGTGCTGAGTCAAGAAAGTATTTACTGTAAATCATGGAGTGTATAAAATTAAACGTGTATTCTACATATAGTTAGACAGCCTGCCTGTTAGTACTAATAAATCCACAAAAGACTTAATAGAAGTATGAGTAAGGATAATATTCTTGTTAGTAATACATATGAAATTGTATATATACACATACATACATATATACATATATATATATATATATATATATATATATATACACACACACATATAAACAAGGTAACATAGTTCATTAGAGCTGAGGAAAAACACAAAGAAGAATGGAGGAGGGAAAAGCACATCTCGGCACTTGTCACAACTGTGTCAAGCATACAGTGTAACCTAGGGCATCTCAGTAGAACTCTGATGAGGTGACACCCCCTTTCACTTTTCCTTGAAATAGCAATCTCCCCCTGTAGTGCTTGATGTGTGTGTAAAATTATCCAGCTTACTAACAAGGCCATAAGTACATGGAGATGAATCAGTTTATTGAGTACTTAACATTGCACAAGCTGAGCATCTGCCATTGTCATAAACATGCTGCTTGCTTTCTCAGCTTAGTTTAAAAAAAAAAAGAATACTTAGAAATACCACAGAATAAAAGGAGTACCTGGGAGGCTATTTTTGTTACTATTGTTTTGAAGTTTCAGCCCAGAGTAAGAAAGCATCTCAGAAAAACTGCAGGCACGAACTTAGTGGTGTTTCTTTTTATGAGATACTCTCAACCGGGAGCTATTTTATTTTATTTTATTTTTGCTTATGTAAGAGGGTGTTACTAGACATTAGTGTCTTGTATATCATTTCCTTTAAAATGTTTCTAAAATGTAATTCGTGTAGAATTTAATATATAAACACTGTTTGACTGTGATACACACCCAAAGAATTGGAAGCATCATCATTTCACCAGGGAATGCTTTGTGAAGTAACATACATCAGTTTATATGGAATATAATATGTACATAAATGGTGTATTTAACTTTTAAAACTTACAATACACTTCACATGTAGAACATTGAACTTTTTAAAACTAAATTATAAAGATGTAGTATAATAATATTATTATTCAAGTATGACTATTGGAATTAGAATTAAAAAGTAATACTGAAAGCATCAGTAACAAGTTTAAATGTTTCATTACTTGCGGATGAAATTGTAAACACTGCATAACATAAATATAAACAAGAACGCATGCGCGACAAGGCCATTACAGGACATCTTTGTGCAATGAGTGACATAACAGTGACAATGGGACTGGAAGATGAAGTCTTGATAGTTCTTCTCCAGTGTTCTCATAGCTCTGCATTGTTACTATGAGTGGCTTTAACTCACATGTTTATGCACACCTCCAAGAAACAGCTTTCTAATGTTTTTTTTTAAGTTCAATATTTTCTATAACCTAATTATTAGGAATCCATGACAATGAACGGGAAAGAACTTTCCATTCACCTAATGGACATGCTCAACTTCATAAATGTAAATTGGTCACATGTTAATGAAAAATATATGGCAGTATCAAAGATCAGCTTCTCATGTTTTCAGTCTATAGATACTTACTTGGTTAAAAAGCAAACAACAAACAAAAAAAAATCTGCACCCATGACTTGCTTAATTAAATTACTGCTTTCTGACCATTTATCCTTCTTTTGTCTCATTTAGCTTGTCTCAACACACTATATGTACTTATTACATACGTTTTCATTACAATTAATTTTAAGTATGGGGATATGATGACATAATACCTGTAAAATTGTTATTTTATTATTTATATATTGCATGCTTTGTCTGATAAATTCTGTTATAAAAATCATGTGTTGCCTGACAATACAAAGATTGTGTAATTTTAAGATTTCATGTATAAAGCTTTTAAGCTTTATACATGCGTACATATATATATATATGTATATATATATATATATATATATACGTGTACATGCATGCGTGTGAGTATATGTGTATGTGAGAACTGTTTTTCATACAGGCAACTTTGGAATTGATCTTTTAAATCTGAATGTAATTTTTATTTAATATTGAAATCATTGCTAAGATCAAAATTTCTAAACTAATGTCAATGATTTCACTCTGTCTTGTTTTCTAGAATATTGGCACAATTCTACACAACTCACAATGGGTTTCCCGTTCCCCTTTCCAAGAGAGCACCGGCTATCTATGTTATCTACTGTATAGTGCAAATCTCAGTAGCTCATTAGAGAATTCTAAGAAATACTTTAAGCATAAGCATATTATATCATGAACTAATGCATCCCAAGAAGCATTTCTCTAAAGCTGACTTTTTCAAAATCAGTATCATCTGTACCCTCATCTTTAGGAGTTGGCAATAATAAACTTGAAGGAAATTTCCTGTTCAGCCTGTGGATATCAGAATAGTTTCCTTAAGCAAAACTGTGGAAGTTGTCTCACAGACCAGCTAGTGACTGTCTGCAATGCTACACTGCTGTAGAAACTCCCCAACCCCATGCAGGGACATTTGTTTTGAGTTGCTCTTATTAGTGTGTCCTTCCTGTTTGGGGATGGGTGTAGACAACTCAGGAACAATTAATTCATACTCAGGTACTGAAGATGGGTGCTATTTTTCCCAAGATGTTTAAATTAAAAGGATTAAGAGAGTAAGAACCCTTTCTCAGTAAAAATGTCAGGATTGATATCAAGGTTGAAGAAGACAAAAATTTTTGGTGTCTCTACCATTGGTCTTTATTCTCCTTTCTTTAAAGGATAATCATCTTTATGAGTAAGTTTACTTGAGTAGGAAAACACATACATAGCTTCCTTTCTTGTTCTTCTTTAGATCTCTTACTATCAGAAGTCTCTGCTGACGTGGGGAACTTGGAGAAATAAGAGCTACAACAACACAGATATCAAATGTGTTCAGAAGCTTTCAATAACATATCTGAAAATTCCCAAAGAAAAATATGGCGACATTGAAGCTTCTCTACTTTCATCCATGGCAACAGATTTCTCTGCCAAGTTATCAAATCTTAGTCTTGAACGATCCAATTCAGCATAGTCTTGGCTGATTAAATCAGTAACAGAATTTCCCTGCACAGTAACTTCTGATTTCTCCAACGCCAGGAAATGTCTGATGACTGTGTGACATCAAAATGGATACTTGAGTCAGATCCTCAAAACAAAATGTAAAAGTGAGGACTCACTTAAACCAAAATGCAAATGAAATTTTCACATTTTGTGTGATTGCTTTGTGTAGCCTTTGCTAAAGTTTTCTCCTCTGAATTGATACTAATTTCTTAAATTCAATGGAACAAGGTAAGTCAACCAATAGGGCTGTATCAAAGCTAAATTTGACAGTTTCTAAGTTAAAGCAGCTGCTTATTTCTCTTCAAGGATAGAGCTCATAGCCTCATCTTGTTCATTCTTCTATATCTTTCCCCAGTATTTCCTTCCTGTATGCAATGAGCTAGAGACCACATTCTAGTATATGCCCTCTTGAATGAGGTAAACCAGGCCTTACTAACTTACTAACTGATGTACTTCAAGGAATGTTTCAATACCTGTGGCTAAAGATGATTTTAATAGTAAAACTAAGCAAACCTTGACAATTGACAAATATATTCATTATTGAGTAAAAATTTGACATTTTATCTGACTAAAATAAAGTTTTATTGTGGCATCTTAAAGAACCTTTTACTCTGAGAGGTCTTATTGCAATGTTCTAGCCTCTCTTGTGAAACACAAACAAATTGTTTCCACATATAATGTGAGTAATGGGCCAAGGTCAATACCTTAGTTTACATAAATTTCAGGAATCTATCCAGCATTGCCTTCAAAATATGCTAAATAATCAACAGCAAGTAGTTGCTGCTTTTCTCCCATGGCTATACGTAAGTGTAAAGAGCCATGTTAACTTACCAAATTCTATGCCTTTCCATTGTACAAAGAAACATTTCACAGGGCGTTGTTGGGAATTCCAAATATCAAAAGCAATCACTGGGGCATGGTATTTAAATTATGCTTTCCTTTAAGAAAAACCCATGGAAGTCAAGGCCAGAGAAAATATAAACAGGAAAAGAACAAGAGGCACAAAGATAAGGAAACACAGTGCTTTCTGAGGCAGGTGACCTACATTGGGTACATGAATGAATGAATGGGTGGATGAATGAAAGCCACTCTCTTGAAAGATACAAATTAAACTCTGACTGTTTAGAATTGGAGGGAGGGCTGGGAGTTAGGATAAAGCTACTTGCAAAGTTTCATTAGTCCCTGGCCATCTATCAATGAAAATGTTAAATTGGCCCTTGGCAATAATGGATAGCCAGCCAGTTCTGTTTTTTGTTTGTTTGTTTGTTTTTTGCCTAAACTAAGTCTATTGCTATGTTTTCCCTTTCCTTCATGTGTGTTTCTGTAAAGTTCCTTCTAGACAGGCCTAATGTAGCTTCCATGTACTTTTGTAATGCAGAAGGGACCACCCTGCTTCCAGATCTTCCTGGGTCTCCAACTCTACCTCTGGGACCAGGGGTTTCAACCCATCACTTGCTACCAGCTATTTTGGGTCTCTCCTGAGCAAGCAAGGGTTATGTTTAGTTGGTGCCAGTTTCCTGGTAAATTCACAGCAACAAACTAGAGAATGGCTTTCCCTAAGAGCTAGGAGGGTTGCTGGAAGTGGAAACTGAGTTTTGATATCTCATGGTAAAACCGCATCCTGCAAAAATGAGGAGGGTGAGTAGAAATCCTGAAACAAAAGTAGCTCTCCAGCTCCCTGGAGCATCAGAAAATCCACCCTTACCAGAACAGACTGTTCCCTTCATCAACAAAGACCAGAATTCTTTCAAAGGTGAAAGGGGTGGGGGTCCAAGGTGGAGCATACTGGAGCTCTGGAACTCAAGTGATGGGAGCCTAGAGACCTCTCTGTTTTGCACTGCTCTCCACCTGCACCTCAGCCGGCTGAAAAGGTGCACTCCAAAGACAAAGCAAGCAGCCCGCTGGCTTTGGAAACCGCACCTGTCGGGACATCCTGCCAGATCTCACGCTTCTGATCCTCTTAACCCATTGAAAGAGGCTGGCCAACCGGCCAGCCTTCCTGTGTGTGCTTCAATCCCCCAAACTCTCTCCACAGGCCCCAGCCGACAGTCAGCCCAACAAATAAAGCCAATGGTTCTTGGAGCTAAATAAACATAAGCGTTCCAGTCTCTGGGGGACTCTGGTCGGCTGTGGTTCACCTGGGAGCTACCAGGAAGACTAGAGGGCACAGCACTATCTCCTGGCCCCATTCCCGTTCTCCCTGGGAGTCTGAGAGGTCCCTGCTGTGGCTTTTATCTGGAGGACTAAGCCCTGCTGGAAAAGCGATCTGAATCTAGCCAAAATACCTAGCTGGGCCAGAGACAACCCCAGTTACCGTGCACACAGCCCCAAATCACCTCTCGCCTCAGCCGCCTAAGAGCAGCAAGGCGAGTGAGAAATGGTCCAGGAAGGCAAATGAAATGGAAGGACGCGGGTGGAATGAAAGCAAAGAGGAAAGGAGAAAGAGAACTCAGAAAGTAAATTTTCAACTTCGGTTTTTGTTTGTTTGTTTGCTTTGTTTTTAAGTTATGCTCAATTTTCAACCATTTCCAACCTCTTCTGTAATTCTTTTACAATTAAGAACTTTCCTCTAACTGTCCCTGGGAATCAAGGGCTAAGACGGTATTGTCAGGGTCTCGACTTACTAAAACATTGATAAACCCAGCCCCCGACTCAGTCATCATACTATCTGCGCAGTTTTCCAGATCGTGTTGCCTTCTTGCAAACAGGACTCTGCTCTCCGTATGTACATACACATTCTACGTAGACATGTGTAGTTAGTTGTGTGTGCATGTATGTATATATACGTATGTGAAATATTCCTATGCGTGTAAAGTTACATACACATATTAATGTGAATCTATAATATGTGTTTGCATACGATATGTGTGGTTGGAGACTAGAAGTACTCATATCTCATATTTTCGAAACTAACATGAATTGTGTACAGAGGAAAAGAGATGTACTTTGACATTTAAAGGAAAATGCGACTGTAGTTCATAAATAGAAAGAAATTGTATCAGGAGGAAGATTTGTACTTCTTGCCTTGTTTTTCCTTCAGCTGTGGTTGGGGGGGCTGGTCTTTTCGGCCAGGTCATTCTCGAAAAGAGCTGCCTGCCTCATCAGGGTAACCTCCACCTGGGGAAGCGCCATGCCCTCTGCCCAAGAGAGGGGTGCCTGCGCACGGACCCTGTAGACACATCTTCAGGAAACCTGCTGAACTATTTCCAAAACCAGCCGAGTCCCAGAAGCTGGGGCTCCTTCCTGGAGGTGCCCCTGTGGCCCAAAGCAATACTGGCTGTCCCTCCCAGAACAGGTTTTGTTGGAGAGTGAGCAACTTACTTAACATACTGGCTTCGTGGGAGCCATTGACTTTGCCATCCGGGTAGATCTGCAGATGGAAACCGATGCCCACTCTGCAGTACAGGCTGCCGGTCCGGCGCCCCGAAGGGCTCCACTGGAAACTGCTGTGCTCCGAGCTGCTTCCTTGGCTGCCCGGGGAAGCAGCGACTGGGGAGGAGGCAGAAGACGAAGAAGACGTCGTGATACTTCTGCCCTGGCTGCTGCTGGAGTCTCCCGGGTTACTCGGAGCTGCGGGTTGCCCTCCGGGAGTGAGACGCTTCTCGCCGTGAGCCCAAGAGCTGAGGATCAGGTGGCTGCAGAAGAGGAGGAAGATCAAGGACAAGCTCATTCTTCCGGCCGCGGGGGTCCTAAGTGCATCTTGCAGGGCTGGCTCCGGGCTCCGTAGCCCCCGCGCTGCTGCGAGCCTCTGGCGCTGCCTCCCTCTCTGCACTGGGTGGACATAGCCTCCGGGAAGGGAGAGGGAGAGGGGGAGAGAGAGAGAAAGAGAGAGTGAGAGAGGCCACCCGAGCGGATCTCGGCGCTGGCACCGGGATATTTATAACGCCAGTGATCTCACTGCTCCGTGCACGCCTGCGGAGCTTCCCCTCACCCGCGGCTTTGTGTACTCACTGGCCGGTGCGGGGAGGGAGCGCCGCGGTCCTGGGGGCGGGGGTGTGAAGGAGGAGGGAGAAGCGATCCCGGGAGTGGGAGGAGGTACCTTGTCCTCAGAAGCTGCCCCCAGGACGCTGGCTGAGCCCAGGCACCGGCCATGCACCCAGCCGGTCTCAGGAGTCACAGGGTCACCCCACCCCCTGCCAGAGCCAGCCGCGCGGGATTCTGCTCGGAGCGCGCCACTCAGAGTGCAAGGGGCACGGAGGTACATGGGCATGGGTTCTCGTCCTCAGTGGCCATGTGTCCCAGGCAACTCACTCTTTACCCAGCACCCGACGACGTCCAAGTTGGTGGCCCCTACCACCTGGAGCCCGAGAACACTTTCGAAAAAGGACCAAGGACTGATTGTAGCTCGACTCGTGAAGGTTTTTGGGTGGTGGCCCAGGTGGGAGAGAAGGCTGGCTTCCTCTTGTTAATGACGGTTTAAAGAGCTAAGAAGTGCGCTTATTTCTCCTTTCGAAAACCACCCCGAATCTTTATGCTGGTGCTCAGCGGTTGCTGCCCTGTAATAAACTCTGTAGATGGACAATGTGCCCAGTTTTTTCGATCTAGAAAGCTCTGTGTCTGTGCTGGAACAGGTAGAACACTCTTGAGGACACACACACACACACACACACACACACACACACACACGTTCGAACTCAAGGCTAGGGAAGTGGGTCTGAACACCAGGACTTGTGACTGACTGCCCAGTTGTCTTCTTTGGCCCCATGATCCCCTTGCCCAAAAGAATTAGCCGACAGGGCTTTCTTCATCTTCCATTGACTGCAGGACCGACCCCAATGAATGATTAATGACAGGACTCTGAATCCCAACCCCGGGAAACCCGAGAAGGGAGACTTTCCCTGTATGTAATAGCAGGACTGTTATTTATCTGAGAAATATACCTGACTTGCATTCCTGAAATATTTCTGTCTGGAAACATATCTGAAACCTTAAACTACACTGTGATATATTACTTGTTGGTCATTTAAATGAAAAGTCAATGATACCAACCAATAAGTTCAATTCACACCAGTCACGCTTGATGTCAAGTTATGACTTTATTCATTCCTAAGTATCTGCTTGAAATTCCCTGTCTTAGTGGTGAAAAACTCTTGACAGATGTAGATTTGTTTTCAGAATCGCACATCTTTCCTGGATACAGTTCTGAATAGCAAGGCAGCTTTACAATGCTCTTTAGGTCACCTGAACAACACAGGGAAGAAGGAAACATCCAACACAAAGTGTTGTGGCAGGAGGCACAGTGCCCCCCAACCCCTATGCTCCACAGCACACTCTCTGTGCTGAATTCTCTTGTTCTAGTTCCATGCTTCATTCCTCTGGTTTAATTGAGTTGGGAAGAGAGGCCATCACAGAAGAGCTCATCCAGATCCCCACCCCCAAATGTGGACACTGAGGACAATCTCAGTGCCTTCCAAAAGGTCCACTTGAAAAGTCACCTCTTCCAGAGTGAATGAATTTAGCATGCTGAGATATTGTGCTGTGCCTTCTGAACAGGAAAACCTTGATCTATATGGTTTGAGCTGCTTTTGGTGTCTCTGGATGGCATCAGTAAAGCTCCTCGTGTGTCACACAATCCACTGCCTGTGACTAAACTCACATTTTATTTTTCAAAGCAGATTAGATTGATGGTTACCTGCCCTCCCCTATCCTGAGGAGTCTATGAAAGAACAGCTGAGTGGCATAGCCCTCAGATGTCTGATCACCCCTTTTGCTACAGGTGAAAGGAAAGGAGTTTTGTAGAACTGAAGTCTGGCCTCTTTGTACTTGGGCTCTGTCTGTCCAAGGCAGCAATCTCTGTATTTCCGTGTTCCTGGAAAGATGAAGATCAAATCCCGAGAAAGTCTAAGACACCTGCACAGGCTTTAGCCTGCCTCAGTTTGAGGAATGGCAAGATGAACTTCTGGTGTCCAAGGGTTTGGGTGGGGCTCACTAAAAGGAAATAAGGCCCTGATGCTGGGAGAAGTGATGAAATCTGGCAAAGCAACTTAACTCTCATCTCAGAAGGATAAGACATGTGTACATGTGTGTTTAAAACCATGTCCCATTGGTGTATGTAAGCAAATAGAGTGATTGCCACTAATTTAATATTTATCAAGGACTGCTAAACTAGTATTAAGTTATTTAAAATGGGGTAAGGAGCTGCAAAAATGAGCCAGGGGAACTGAGATAATAACAGTGTGCCTGTCACCTGTCAGTGAGCTGAGTGACCAAACCACCACCCGCCCTTCCTCTGCAGCTCCTCTGATGCTGCACACATCAGTGCTGTGCATGCCTGCAGTGTTTATGTCCTTCCTCAGCCAAAGTCACAGTTGGGGCAAAAGCTCTCATTTCGTTGTCTTGGCTGCTCTGGATTTGTTCCAGTGAATCCTACCCCAAAATGAGTGCACTCAGGTGGCTTTCTAAAAGGTGATCACCCTACATTCCCTGCTGGGTATAGTCCCACAGTTGCTGCTGCTCATGAGCCACTGAGACCTGGTCACAGTTCCCTGAAAGCCTGTGTCCATCAAGGGCACCATAGTGTTATTCCCACTTTCTCTGTGCCCAGAAGCAGAACCTGGAGACAAGGCATGTCCTACTTCTAGCTTGCCAAAGTGATTGACCACACCAATTATCTAGGCTCCAGGCTTGGGGTGTGCAGTCAGTTTGGCCCCATCCCATTTCTGCAGTCATATTTCTTCAGGCTCATCTTCTGTCACTTTATTGAACCTCCCCACCACCCCAGGCTCCCTTTTCCTTGACCACAGTATCTGTACCCTTCCAGGCCTCTTCTATTTCTTTGAGGAGAATATCAGCTACATACATTTCTATATCTCATCATCTGGGAGGAAGATGCAATATCCTACCCTCAGCTTAGACCTCAGAAGCCTAAGAAGACAGAGGTAAGGATGAATGCTTCCTTTTACCCAAGGAACAGGTTCACTGTCTATGACCTGCCCCTGGCTGTAAGCCAAGGCCTCGCTGAGGCAGAGCTTAAAGGGCATCCTTCCTACAGTGCATCATTCTGGGACCAGGAAGGGCAAAGACATAGACACTGTCTTAGGATGCACCACCCAGGCAGTGCAAGCCATCCTAGAGGCCCTCCCACCTGGAAGAAGACTCCTGTGCCAGGACCCTGCATAGCCCTCTGCCCCAAAGCTGCCCTTGAGCCAAATCTCTGCTCCTGGAGATGCAAGTGCTTAGAGGAGTTCATCTGTTTGAGGGTCTGTTACTCATAAAGCTGAAAGACAAGGCCTTTCTTTGATATGAGCAAACAATCAGAATTTTTTTCCTGGAAAAAAAAAAAAAAAAAAACCAGCTTCATTAACCCTGGTTATAAATGGCTCTGTGGCTCCTGCCATTCCTGCCCCCCTTTTACAGCCAGAGAAGTTATGTCTACATAACAATACACATCGTATTTTGCCAAACAGTTTCTCAGGGATGCCATAGATATTTTCAAGAAGGCTGCTATAGGCTGAATGTGTATGCCACTGAAATCCTAAGTTCCAGTGTAATGGTATTTGGAGATTGAGCTTTGGGTATTAACTGAGCCCTGGAGATGAATTCCTCATGAATTAGTGCCCTTATAAGAAGGGACAAGAAAGACCAGGCTCCATCCCCACCCCTGCCACCATATGAGGAAATCAGAGAACCCTCATCAGAGCTTAGCCATAAGGTACCTTGATCTCAACCTTCCCAGACTCTGAAACTGTGGTCATACTTCCTGGTTTTCCAAGTTATCCAGTCTCCCACGTTCTTGTTAAAACAGCTGAAGACAGAATGCAACAAGGTTGCCTTGTGGAAGGAGTTAGGAGTTGACCCGTGGGGCCCTCAGTCCATGAGGTTGCCAGGACCCTCTACTGCCTCCAGGCCTGGCTTCCCACCAGCCAAGTTGGCAGCTATTTCAGCAGCAAAATTGCCTATGGCTATAGGAGCAGGCCGAACAGGTTGAGAAGGGTGGGAAGGGCCTTCTGTGTGAGAAGAAAACCAAGAGGAGCATAACAGGATCAGATCTCTTCGCTTGTCTTCATAGCCCATTGGTTTCCTCTGAGAAAGAATGATGGTCGGAAGTGATCACAGCCCTCCCCCACATTTGTGGCATCAGATGTAAAAAGACGTTCTGCACTCAGAATGAACACAGTGAAATCAGCTATGGCTTTCTCAGTGTAGCCCAGTTCCTAGGCTTCTGAACTAACCTAGTGACTGTTCATGTTACAGCTTCTGTACAGATTCTTGCACCAAGTTCCTAAAGCACTACAGGATGCCAGCTGTCTCTGTGTACAGTCTTTGACAGTGGGGAAATAACCAAGCTAGAAACAGTAATGGTTAGCAGTAGAAGAGAGGTCTGATGTCTAATACACATGGGTAAAAAGTCACGGCTTCTGGTTTACCTCAAGCCCTCTGGAAAACAGGGCTGTATGCAACCCCATGCAAGGTCCACAGACAACAGCAATGTGTGATAGATTTTATTAGGCACTATCTACTTCAATAATCCCAAAGAGTACATTGTGAGCACATGGGGAGAATGCAGGGTCCCTAGTCTCAACAGGATATTGGGTGGGAAATCATGGGCATTTCTCACCTTTGATGAAGGAGGAGAAAGAAAACAAGGACTGCTCTTTAGCTAGGTCTATTGAGCACAGTGAATGATTTTATCTCTAGAGAGGCAGGCCTTAAGCAAATGGGCATGTACTCAAGAAAAATGGGGGAAGGCAGTCAGAAGAAGAGGAGGGCTGCCTGCCACCTGGGAAATTCTTCTTGTGTCAAAAGAAAAACATGGGAAGTGAGCAGGGGTGATAGCTAGCCTGCTGCAGGCAATGAATCTACAAGAGGCCAAACTACAGAGCTGACAATACCCACAAGAAGGCTTCTTTTGGAAAGTCTCCCTGAAGATGACTTCTCAGACTAAGTCTATACATTCAGAGTGTATTTCTTCCCCCATTAATCAGATAATAAGTGTTCTTCCATGTTGATCAGGGAGAAGGAAGACAT